CCGGTCCCGTTAGCTCGCTGCCCATGCGTTTGTGCTAACAAGGAGATGAACTGGGGGCTTGTGTGAGAATGGCGGCGTGGGAAGAGTCTAATGTGCTGTCCTTGTGGCCTCAGAGCGGTCGGTGTATAATACAATGATCTGAATATTGAGGAAAGATGGAAGGTATCTTTGCTGTCCGTCACTGAGGGCGCACGCCTTAAGCTCAGGCTGAGTTTCGTAATGTTCAATCAACTGATCTAAGCTGTCATGGTATGATGGCAGTTCTCTTTGTTTCGCCTTTGCACATTTGAGGCGATTTAGGAGGATTGCGCTACCCACGCTGCGCCGCAGCTCACTTAGGTTTTTGGTGAATTCTGATTCAAAGATTGTCGAATCCTTGACCAATGAATAGGTCCATGACATAATAACCAAGTTACTCTGCGCACCGGAAGCCTACAGTTTCGTCCACTCCGAGAACCATAACAAACCATCCAGGAATGGCCACGGTGTGAATTGCAAGCTCGAGCTATGATTCAGCCAGAGTTGCAGACTGCCACAATGCAGCACAACATTGCCTAATTTCAACAGGGAAGTTTTTGCCTTCATACCTTACACCGCTATGCCCAACATCGCTTCTAAGGTGCAAGGGCAGTGTTTTGTCATGTTCATATGACAAACGTAATCAAAGGACCATAGCCTTACACCAGCGTTTCAGCAGAACTCCATTGAGGCTACTCTGCAAAGGATGATTGTGTTTATATTGGCTGGATCTTATGTGCGGTATTAATTTGCCGGAAGATGCAACACGGTGAGCATACTGTCCCATAGGCATGTCGTACCGCATTATCTTCCTCAAGCAAAGGTTTGCCTACAACTCTCGCTGAATACGCCCTTGTTTCGGCATCATCTCGCACTTTCTGTAAGAGAATTTCGATCCATCGGAGCACATGTCCATTGTGGATCCGAAAGATATCCCGAAATGTAAAATTTACGCAGCACATAGCTGCGCGTCATCAAGCCAGGTCCTAATGCGTAGCACTCAAGTAGCCGAAGGCTGTAACCAGATTCGGAAGCGGCTCTGCTTTAATACTCACTTCCAGAGGAAGTGATGTCCAATCTGGATAACACCTTTGCAAAAAATGGATACGTTGCTGCGCCAACGAACGTTACTCTGTTTCTGCTGCGCTTCTCATCCCGCTCATGGCGAAATGCCATGGATTTGCACCGCCATATTTGCGGTCCATGGAATTGATATTTCGTCGCAGTGGTAAGATTTCTTCGTTTGGTGTTGGCTTGTCAGCCCGCAGGCGTGTCCTGCATTTGTGGGTCACACACAAGTTGGTGTCGTGTATGGAATTTCTATCATTGTGCCTGTCAGCCTCGCAATCCGCTGGGTGCGGGTGTACGTGATACTTGATACACTCGCAAATATTCAATAGAACATCAGGACAATTTCCCAGCAATTGCCCAAAAGTACTGCAGACACAGCTACGTGGCGCACAATATAGTGCGACATGTTGAGGAGCGCAAAATACGTGGTGTTGCGTACTGATTTCTACAGCACCAATATTCAATGTAGCAGGGTATAAAAACATAAGAAACGCGATGCTGCTGTTTTCAGAACACGTGGGGAGTGGGTTCTGTGTGATAATAGACAAACCATGCAAAAACATCAGCAACACTGGCATGGATTTCATGCCCAACATCGCCTCTAAGGTGCAAGGGAAGTGTTTTGTCATGTTCATGTGACAAATGCAATCAAAGGATTTGAGCGATGCTGCACGCGTTCCAGGCCGCCTAGTCCAGGAACACATGACAGTAATCAGGGGCGCCACAAATTAAAATATATCTGCTCCAATTGCATTGTAGACCGCTGCCACATCACCCCCGTCATTGCACATCACCTGTACTCCACCTGAATGCCAAATGAGATGCTTGTCGTCATTTGCTTGCAGCTCGGCCTTCCTTATCAAACTTTGATGATTGAATGCTGCATGCGCAGATATTTGTTTGTGGGCTACGCTATTCTTCGGCGCGATGTTATTAGCCTCTGTTCGGGTCACCAATTAATGGGGCTTACCAAAAATTTAGCGCATTAATCATATCACTCAGCTGGCGACCCGTGATGTCTAGACATGGTGCAGCCCCCTCGAGGGGATGTCGACAGCCTCAGCATCTTCGCCACACTGATCGTCATCAAATTGCGAGCTCAAGGCACTCATAATGCAGGGAGATGACTGTAATGACAAAGATATATGATGGCAACTTCATCATACTCCAAAAAGTTCACTGAGGTACTGTAAAAATGTTGAGCACAGCGCCAATACGTGGTAGCGCATCGCACTGAGACAAATGAGTCAGACACCCCTGGAAAACGCCTTGGAGTACAGAGGACCACCCAGGTTGCCACTGGGCGCGTGCGTTTGCTTAGGGACTGCCTGCCTAGCGGTCTGCCGTGGACCGCGGCGAGACGAAGCAAGGAGGGGCGCGTGGAGGCGCCACGTAGTTGTTTAATGGGAATATGCCAAGTGGGGCATTACGTGGTTGCTGACCGACGGAAGTGTGGTTGTTTGTTGGGAACATGGCCCTTAGGGCATTACGCGGTGGCTGATTGTGGGCAATGGGGCGTCCTGGGTTGAGTTGTGGTGAAGCGGCGGGCGTGACAGAAAGATTCCGGGTATCAAAAGAGCATCTCTTAGGAATAGGGGTATTTGCCAGAGCTTGGAGGCTCTCAAGTACCAGGGGCGCGGACAGCGCCGTGGGGAACTCTCCATTGTTGCACACGGCATGGCAGCTGTAACAACGGTTGCGTGGGGTCCGTGTGTCTCCCGCGGCGGTCTAGGCGCTCGGCCTGGCTGCCTGGCCCCCCTGGCCGTGCGCGCAACGTTCGCCACGGCCTGAGCGCAATAGCGCTCGACCTTTTTGAAGGTCGCCGCCAGTCTGGGCCGTGTTTTCAAGGCGTTAACGGAGAGGAGTTAAGGAAACGTTTCCTTGCCGTTCGAGAACAGCATCTCCAGCGCAGCCTAGTTGCCCACCAGAACTCGCCAAGCCTCGTCTCTGCACAGCCTTGTCGAGGCGGAGTGAAGCGTTTCCCGTATCATACACCGACGTGCTGTGGACAAGGCAGCCCTGACCCGTGGGCCTGACTTGCGTTTTGACTTGATCGATCGTTCAGGAGCAGCAGCGACCGGTTGAGACGCTCTGAGCGGCAGCTGTGAGAGGTTTTACAGGCACATTTGCATGGCTGGCTGGCAGTTGAATGTTTGCTGCCCGCTTCAAGCTTGCCCTTGCCGTCGCTGCTGTTTTCGTTGGTCGCGTCAGCATGCCAAGCAGTTCTTCGTGAAGGGCCGGTTCGCGCGAGGGGCAAAGCTTGTTCATTGAGCGCATCCTCAACTGGTGTGGTGCTGAGGCTGTCGACATGTCTCAGCTGCCCGCTTGAGGGTGACTTTACTGCGCTATCTCCGGGGACGACGGCCAGAATGGACCGCCATCCTTTGCACCTCTGTATTGTGGAAGGGCCGCTTCGAAGCTGCACAACAACGAGGTGGGCGGTGCTCACATGCAATTATGCAGTAAGGAAGTAAATCCGTGGTGCGGTGAACGCCAAAGCCAGGACTGGCCACTCTATTCTATCGAACTTCGCTTCGCCTCGCCGACCACGTTGATGCCTCACGCTTTGGCATATCCAAGCTGCGTGTTTATTTCTTGATGTTGCTCAATGCAAGATGGTTGCCTCCTATTTTCCATTTGAGCTCAAGCATTGGATTGCGGTGAGCGTGATCAAGTGAATTTTCCTCTTGTACACAAATTGGCAATCGATGACTTGTATCGCAGCACAGACATCAACGGACTCATTTGTGATGCTCACCATGGAGATGGTGGCCACCATTTCCAACGCGCAAGAGGAGGCACCTTCGTTGGTGCGCTCCCGGGTCTTCGTCCGCATCTGGGAGCAAGTTCGCAAATGCGCTAATTCGCGCTGAAGCGGAAACCCAGTTTGTTCCAATGTTGCACATCGACTGACTGCGCACCGCCAATCCCCACCACGGCCCACATCGGCTTCAAAGCCGACGCAGGTAATTCTCTGCATCTGGGACACTGAAACGCGCAGTACACGTGGGGCTGCGCTGGCGCGAAGCGCCGTGCACAACACACTGCAGCGCCGTGGTTCCGCCTCCCAATGTTGCCTCGGGCCCGCCTCCAACGTTTGAGACGTCGTTGCATGCAAACGTCGCATCAATCATTGTCGTCCATGATGAGACAGACTTGCCTCCTGCGTTCCGTGACAAACCCGGGGCGTCGATGCTCGGCGTCCTGCCGGACACACGACGGCAACATGACGCAAGGGAATGCGAGCGTCACGGCGAAGTTCTCCGCACGACGGCCGAAAGGCTGCCCAGCCACTGCCGCACAAAAGGCACCGACGGGGACGGGCACCTCAAGAAAATCCAGCGTCCGTTGGAAACTCTTGGGAGCCTCTGGGGGACAAGGGTCGGTGCAGAGTCGAACGCAGGCGGGGGTTTGGACATGGCACCTCAGCACCTGTGGCTCCTGCTGCTGGCTTGCGCTGCGGTAGCGGCGAATGGGCTAGCAGTCGAAGAGCGCATGGGGACAGCAGGTGCGCCAGAATAGTCTGCTCTGTGTGCCCTCCGGGCGCATATCGCGGTGGATTGAGAGGCGCTGCCGTGGCTCAAGCGCAAAGAGCGCGAGGAGGAAGGAGCGGCCATGGCTTTGAATGGTCGCCGCGCGCAGTGGCCGATACGGATGCATGAGGGACGCCCAACGCGCTTGTGGATTCGCATTGATCAGCACGTCGCTCCCCACGTCCAACATTAAACACGCTTGTTTTCAGGGACCCGCGGCATGCGTCCGGCGGTGCCATCGCTCATTGCCATTTGAACCGTGCGTTCGAATCCACTGCTTGGCGCATCCAAGATGCGCCATGAGGCATGCGCCTGAATTCACGAGAAGTATGTTTCGACAAACCGACGCAGTTTTGGGGCGCCTTGCAGTCAGCGATTATGTTTCCTGGTCTGGGCATATCCAGCCAGTTTCCCACAGGCCAGGCGGATGTTCTATATATTTGTCGATATCCTTGAGCGTGCCCAGCTTCACGCACCCGAATTGTAGCACACAAGGGCGACCAAACTTAGAGTGCTATATGCAATGTCGCTGGTACTTATGCTGCTGATGGACAACCTTGTTCCTCGTTGAGTTGAAACTGTCCGCTGGGCTGTATCTCGCTTGTACAGGAAGTCCATGCAAAAGCTCGAGGGCTCGCTGTTAAAGTGCGGGAGGAATTCAAATGTAGCTAGATGCGCACACTAATGCATTGAGTGAATTGTGACATCGTGGACTCAACCATAGCACCAACCAGTGGTGGTTTATATCTCAGAAAGGGTTTGAATCCACCAAGCCGGAAAAAAGCTGCATATCCTGGATATGCATATCCAGAGCATGGCACTACACCGGGAAATGGGTGCCCATCTCCTCGCCATACCCCAGAATATAGAGCCCATCTCAAATTCGATATCCAGGATATGGTGCCCCTGCTATCCTATTCCATGTCCCAGGATATAACTTTTCCCGACGTATGAAGATCTTGTCTCGCAGAGTGGACACTGAGGCATGGAGAAATGATGTTCCTTCTGTGTCTTTGTGTGATGCAGATCCCACTTCGGCTTCCAGAAGGCTGTTGGCTTGCGGCGGTGAGTCTTGCGCTGCTTTGCTTTACTGGAGACCCAAATCAAAGCTTTTGCAGCACAGTTCCCAAGCAGGGCATTCGCGGCGCGAATGGGGCGCCCCTCGGCACTGACGGAGCCTATCGTGTCAGCGTCCGCGCCTGCGATGTTACAGGGAGCTGCACACTTTGGACTACAACATGCCGTGTTTCCGGCAGAGATTGTTGTGATGCAGTCATCTGACTTTGTTTACGATTAGTGCTAATGATAATTGGCAGTGGGCTTTGAGCAAAATAGCGTCAGCTATTTTAGCCGTCATGGCAGCTAAGTTCAAATTCCCCTTATGGCAGAAACATCCATCACTTCACACCTCTGTGTGTATGAAATTCCTTGTCCCATCCCTGAAGATTCCGAAAGCGAGCGCAAGGGGGAATGTAGTGCGATATTTGACCCTTGTGACAATCAGCGACAGCGCTCCAATCGCCCTCAAGATGCAGCGCCTGAAATCTTTTCACCCGCAGGCCGCAAGCCCGACTGCTGCAAGACGTGGGACTGGAGCTGGTGCAAATGCACGGAGTACAAAGACGGGTGGTACTACGACGCTGGGGAGTGTGTCTACAGCCGCGACCACGACTATGAGTGTCCGGACTGTTGCGACGACTGCGACTACCTGTGGAAAAAGTGCAACAGGTACAAGCACGGCTGGGCCTACGAACACGGCAGCTGCTACTACCGAGACGACTACAAGTGCCCGGACTGCTGCGAGGAATGCGACTATGACGGCAAGTACTGCAAGAAGTATAAGTACGGATACTCCTATGAGTACGGCGAGTGCATTTATGGGGCTGACGACGATGATGGGGATGATGACGATGATGACGATGATGACAGTGATGATGATGACGGAAAGAGCTACGAGTGTCCGCATTGCTGCGAGGATTGCGACTATGACGGATGGAGCTGCAAGAGCTACAAGCACGGGTGGGCTTATGAGGACGACAGCTGCTACTACAAGGACGAATACGAGTGCCCGAATTGCTGCGAAGAGTGTGACTACGAGGGCAAGTACTGCAAGAAGTATAAGCATGGGTGGGGCTACGACAAGGGCAGCTGCTACTATAGGGAGGATTACAAATGCCCAGATTGCTGCGAGGAGTGCGATTACGACGGCAAGTACTGCAAGAAGTATAAGCACGGGTGGAGTTACGACAAGGGCAGTTGTTATTACAAGGATGACTACCAGTGCCCGGAATGCTGCGACTGGTGCGATTTCGGGGAGAGGAAGTGTGGGAGCTACAAGGCCGGGTGGGAGTACGTGCACGGCGAGTGCAGGCGCAAGGATTGGGGGCCTTCCCATGGGTCCCCAACAGCTAAGGCGTCAGCAAGCGCCGAGTGCTTCGGAAAATACCAGGATTGCTCCACCCACACCGAAACCAAGACATCGACCACGCCTTACAGCTCCAAGTCGTCCAGCTACTCGTCTTTGAAGATTGTGGGAAGGTGAGCTTGCAGTGGAAAAGGGCCGAGCGGATGGTATTTTGATTCGGTGGGACACGAAGTGCGCTCGGTGAGCGCATGGAAACGCTCTCAAGGCATCGGGAATTGTGGGCAGCATGCCTTCCAGTATGCCCTGTGTTTGGTGGCTGGAGTCCGAACACTGTTTTGGCTCGTCAGAAGGACATAAGCTGTGCAACTGGCATGTGGGATAGTTATACGAGAATGGAGAAGGGGCTTGTGATTCAGTATATTTGAACGCAAGGAGACCGATGCCTGGTATTGGAACTGTGAATAAAGTTGTTTCACAGAGTAATGATGTTGCTATACTAGAACGAGTTAGGTATCATGGAATCAAACTGTATCTCTTTGCTGTTCGTGACCACGGACATATAACATGTTCTGTTGTGATGGGCAGGAGTTTTATTGAGTTCGCCTTACAGCAGATAAGCCATCTGATGCAGCTTCTGAATTTGTCTGTTCAACACAGCGAGGTAGACTTCCTCTTGCATTGAACACATGTGTCGTCGCCCCACGCGGCTGTGGCCCAGGCCACAGCCATTTCAAAGTCCGCACTGTCGAATGCCGTGTTCAATGGCTAGTTCAATAGCTGGGCCAGTGACACAAGGTCACTCTAAATGTCAAATCTATGCCAAGATCAGAAGCTGCCATTCCCCACGAGTGCATGTTACTTGCTATCGTTGTCGCTTGCACACTGTGCTCCTCGTCTTGAACTGTAAATCTCTACATCACCTTCACGTGGTATGAAAGCGTTAAAGAACTCACGCACAGCTGCTTAGGAGACGGTGTGGCGACGGTGTGACACGTTCCCTTTTCAGTTGTGACAAGGTTACTCCAACCTACACCAATCCGCGTCTATCGTTGTGCCTATGCCGCATGACAATCCGTATCTGGGTGGGAATGTATATGGCGCTGCTGATGTCCTTGTTGCAGCGGCAACTCGTGCTCCCTCTCGCCAAGCTTGACAGTACCGTAGATGGGCTTCTTCCCAGCCTGCACAAGCACTTGATCCATTTTGATTCTCATGCTGTTGAGCATCGTGTCCTCGACGCTCTGGGCTTCAGCCATCTCCAAAAGAGAAGCAGCGACCGCCTCCAGCGTGGATGTCCTGGCACATCTGAAAATGACCATGTCAAGCAACTCTATTGGCCGGTGGAGCCCAGCTGGGCTGCATTGCATAGGGCGCCCGGCTGATGATGCAAGCCGCCGTGCCTGTTGCTCAATCCGCGTATCGCATGCCACTTTGACTGCCGTCCTGGGGACAGCCTCACGTGCCCGGATAGCCCACAAAGGCCTTGGAACAAAGGGCATGAAAACAGAGGAATGCGGTCAAAATGAAAGAAATCGAAGACTGAGTTAGCCTTCTCGCGCCGCATAACACGCTTGAGACCATCGAGGCCATTTTATCATCGAATTCCTGACATTGTTATGGCATACGCAGACTGGTGATAAAGGGGCCTCTGCTGATGGTGATGCAGTGGCGTACATCGAAGCAGGCGCATCCTGCCGATCCCTTGGTCACGGGCTTGAGGACCCCCATATCACATTTTCTCACTGACATGGGAAGTGCACATCAGCACATCGCCAGAATGGACAGTTCCCATCAACTGGCTCCATGCCATGCCAACCCCGGAGCAATGGAACGCTGTAGTTGTTGAAGCGCAGCATCGCTGCACAAATCTGCACTTTACGATGCAGAAGCGTTAACATAATACAGAAGTTGCAACTTCGCTGACAATACTACGCGGATTTTCCTTTTAGCACTCCCGTTGCAACTCATGCTCACCTGCCGGTCTTGCACTCTCTTCCCCCATACTGGCGAATGGCATACAGGGGGGAATTCCTTCTCCATCTCAGGACAACCTCTGATGGCAGGAATACGCTGGGTATGCTGCCTGGGTATTCGGAACACCACCTACCTGGCCCATCGTAAAGAAGCACCAGGAGCAATTGCAACTACTTTACACGCCCCACTGGGGTCCATGTGTTTCCCAAAGTTATATGGCGTCAGGGAATCGCTCCCTGCGCGGTAACTGCACAACTGCTGTGCAGCTGACATGTGCGTAAATGATGCTGGCTTTCTGACAAGCGTGAGTAAGGACGGCGGCTGCCATTTGCATTTCCTATGTTCAGTGGAAAGTGCCAATGGATTGATCGATTAGAGATGGACTCCGTAATGCTGTAAGTTGATGCATGCGGGGGCATCCTTGATTGAACGCAATTAGGCTTTTCCGAGCAAGGCTTGGGGCTTTGCTCAGCTGGCATCCACCTTGTGCCAATTATATTATTCCTTGGTATCACAGCACTGGTCTCCCCCCCCCCCCACCCCACCCACACACACACACACCCCGAAACAAAAATATCGTCAGTATGACTTCAAGCATGCACAAATCGACATAGCATCACCCTTTTCTGTACTGTTGGCTCCAATACCAAACACGAACACAATAGAGCTGCATCAAATGAACAAGGCGAGTATTGTTATTTGCCGGCTGGGCAGTTGGTGGCAGGCTTGGTTCTTACGCCGTAAAAACTGATCGTATTTACGTTTTTACGCGTAAAAACAGTTTTTACGTTTTTACGCGTAAAAATACGTAAATACAACGTAAAAACTGCCGGGGGAAAAAAGGACAGTACATACATACTTACGGAGTCTGGAGAGTGGCAGCTAGACGGCCTGGAAGGGGCAGACAACGAGTTTTTGTTAAGCACCATCATCGCCCTTGCCAAGGGCGAGGTGGACACTGTGTTGTGGATGCTGGATATGGCAGAAGACTGATCATTGTACGCAACTTTCACCGTGTAATCTGGGCGTCCCAGGGAGCCGTAAAAACGTAAAAGTAACAACGTAGACGTAAACGTAAAAACCAAGCCTGGTTGGTGGCACCATCTTCACCGCTGGCACCTGCGACAGGTGTGTTGCGTTTCTGTGGTCAAACTTGGGAACGGGTGTGCTGATCTTGATTGTTGATTGTGCTGTGGGATCAAAGACGGGGCGCAAATTTGCATGTGCGCCACGGCTGCGGCTCAAACCCCCTTCGATCGTGCAAGCGTTGGGGCAAAAGTTAGACTAAGTGTGTCTGCGAATCTTTTTGGTGCGGGTGCCCTCGGCTCGTCTTCCTCCACCCGATTTCGATTTCAAAGGCCGTTTGTGGCACGCCGGCAGGTTGCATAAAATTGAAACTGAAAATCAAGCCAGGTTGCAAGTCCATCCAGACCGTGGTTGGTCCTTCAGAATTCTAACAAGGAACAGTCCGGAGTAGGGTGGTTATCGAGCGGCATACCTGAGGGGGGCTTGCGCCCGGGCGCTATAGAAGGTGGTGCGGCACGGAGGAGGCTGATGGCTGCGCCGTGTCGACTGCCCACACTGGGAGAGGACACCTGAGGGCGTCAGCGGTGGCGGCCATTGACGACAGAAGCAACGCACAGGAGTGGACCTTTGCACACATCGGGAACGAAGGTGCGTGGGGATGAGGAGATTCGCCTCCAGATCCTTGCCGGGTCGATTGCGCTGCTGCGTTGGTGGACACGTTGCAGAACTCCGGCGTGGTAGATCTGAGTTGCTGCGGCGCCGTTTCGCTGGGAGATCTCTTGCGAGGATGAACAATGTTGAAACGTGCCTCTGACGGAAGATGAGTGGATCGCATTGGAGTCGGAGCGCTTGGCTTGGCAAGCGAAAGCGGTGGGGTTCGGGCCTAGCCATTTTTGCGTCTGCGCTTTGCGCGCTTTCCTGGCGCTTTCCTGGAACTGGACCTGTGGACGGTGCCCGCAGAAAACGCAGTGTGCGACAACGCCAGTGCATTTCTCGTTCCCATCGTCCCGCCGTGTGTACGTTGCACAGTGTGCAGGAGTGGCCCTTGCTTCAGGTCTGTTTTTTTCGGCGCGCTTTTGCATCCAGCACGATGTACATGGGTATAAAGATAGGCACACTCCGCATCGGGGCAGACGGCGACGGTGATCTTGTCAAAAGTCCTTGCCGGCATATTTGACAAATCCCATTAGCTTGTCTAAGCTGCAGCTGGCTGCCTTGACGAAGCAAGCCAGAAGAAGGGCATGTTTCCCACTTTGGCTTGCGACAATAATGGTGTTGTTTTTGCCGACCATTGCTGCCCGACCTTGTAGCAGTCAATGAAGATTACGTTGCGTAAAGTTTTAGACAACCTGATAAGTAATGCTTGTGAGCTTCGACGTGCCATTGGTTTGGCAGACAAAGCGGGTTTCTTGTGTTGCACTTCAGGCCACATTGCTGCCCTACTACAGTCAATAAACTGTTATTCCCCAACTTGTGATGGCTCTGCGGTTGTTTGAGCTCGGTGGTGTTAAGTTACTGTACACTGCGATTCGTTCATCGCTGACAAACTACACTTATATCCAAACAGACCACAAAATCTGCAGCATTGTAAATGCAGGAATGGGCATGCCTACCGCCGAAGCTGCTGAACAGAATTATGCGGGTCCTGCAGGCTCAGGAAGGCAAGAAGGAAATGTGTCAGGAAGGGAAAGAAAAGGGTTTCCAGCTGCCAAAGGCTGCCCATTTGATCAATGCCCACTGGTCCAAATGCGAAGCTAATATTCTTAAGGAGTTTCAGCCGCCCAAAAGTGTGATCTTGTGGGGTGCGCTGCAGGGAATGCACAAACATTTTGTCAGCCTGTCCAAACTTGTGCTCGCAAGTGTTCAGGGGTTGACGATGAGGCTCTTATCATTCATGGCAGTATGTCAACTGCTCGCTATATTGAACTGCCTGGGTGTTGACAGCTCACAGCATGGGCATACTTGGCTTGGCGGCATCAGTTTCGCTCAGGCATCACGACATGAGTCACAAGAAAATTGTTTTTGATGATGAGCTAAAGGCATTGAGCCATGTGATTGTACTCCAATGTTTGAACTTGGGTTATTGGCGAGGAATCGCGGATGAAGGGGTGTTGCCACTAGCACAACTGACAATGCTTCAGGGCCTTTATATCACATTTTGTGATCGCATCACGGTC